GTGTGTGTTTTGCATAGGGTCACATTCAGACAGTCAACTCCTGGTGCTCCTGTTTTCACCTATCAAGTTTGGGTTTGCATATGTGTGCCACTTTACATGGATGAGATTAATTTTTAAATGCTGTACTGGAGATTTAAAATATTTTTTTTTCTGTGTAGATCCAGTCACTAAAAAGTGGAGCCCTGAGATTCTGTTCATTAACTTTGTTTAAATCTCCAAAGAGTAATATGCATATAGTGACAGAGAATTATGAAAGCACTGAACTTTAATTAAAAAAAAAACCCTTTCACGTATCACATTAGATCTTTGCAACTCTTTTACACAGGAACATGGATGGAATCAATAGTTGGCAAAGTCATTCAAAAACAAGCATCGAGTCTCCTAGTAAACCCACCAAGACCCAGCAGACTCAAACAATGGGACACGCCCTTTAATTTCATGTGACTGGAAGAGCATCTCTGCATCTTCTCCCCACTTCTTTATGCGCTGACCTACTAAGCTGTAATTGTCAACTTAGCCCAGCCTAGGGTTGTCTGAGAGAAGCCTCTCTTGAGGGATTTCCAAGATTAGATTGGCCCATGTGCATAATACAAGGCATTGTCTTGATTTCGTAGGTGGGCCCTTCTCCTGGAGGTAGTTGTACTCCTAGGCTGTGTAAGGAAGAGAGCTAAGCCTGATCTTGTGATGGAGCCAGCAGGCTTTGTTTCTCCTTGGTTCTTGCTTGGAGTCCCTGCCTTGACTTCCCCCCATGGTGAACTGCAACCTGGAAGTGTAAGCCAAATAAGCCCTCCCCTGAAGTTTTTTGTCATGGTGTATGTCAAAACAACAGAAAGGAAACTACAACAGTCCTGGAGATCAAGTGTCTCAGAGCAGATGTTTTGTTTGAACTCCCGCCCCCACCCCCACCTTCCTTCTGCGCCCACCCTTGGACACACACAGACACACCTCACAGCCACTCTGCCAGTTACGGACTGTCCTCAGATTAATGTGATTGGAAACATCAGACAGAGACTCTTTCCAAAACCCATTTTCTGCAAGGCAGGCAAATTGTGCCCTCATTTTCCATCATCTCTACTTCATCTGTAATCAGCAAATGGGGCCCCTCAGCCTGCATTGTGTTGCGTGTGCAATCTTTTAGCCTCCCTGAGTTTGCACAACACTGAACCTTCTCATTTTGAAATTCAGGAGGAGCCGAGGAAGCCTTGGGCAGAAGATTGTAATTTGGGAGAAGGGGAAGTCAAGAATAAGATCACCTGTTCTGAAGAGGGCTGGTTCGGAAGGAAATTGCTTTGCTTCATCAGTGTCTGAGCCTCTGAATGGATGTGCTCCTGTCATCCCGCCCTCCATCTCCAGTGACCTAAAAATCACATAATTTCAAACATTCACAGAACTGATTCCTTTGTGCATGCCTGTGCACTTACCCCCTCTATTGCCAGCAGATGTGTCTAAATCTTTCTGCTTCACAGCTAGGCTTTTGCTGCTATGCGGGTGTTTGGGAATGAATGAATACCCTTAAGCAGATTTATCAGACTTCTCACTTCCAGCCTCCTCCCAGGGTTTGCCCCTAGTGGGGCAGATTTATCTCTGGCTTTTTAGGGTCTAAGTCAGACCTTGAGAATTAAATAGACCTAAAATAGATTAACAGGAGAATGACATGTATTTTACACATAGATTGCTGCTACTAAAGGAAAATAAAAACACGCAGGAAGAGCCAAGCATGGGGGCACTTGTCTGTAATCCCAGTACTTAGGAAATAGAAACAGGAGGATCAGGAGTCAGGGTTATCCTTCTGGGACCTAGTGTTTCAGGTCTGCCTGGGGTACTTGAGACAGTCTCAAAACAACAATAACAACAACAAAACCCCTTTAAAAGTGACCTAGCCTGAATGCTTACTTACTGGCTATACGGGAGTGGCTGTTTTAAGAGACATATCCAAAATCTTTGGTCTGTTAAAGGAGGAGTTATTTCCCCCATGTATTTGTACATATTTTTCTGGGCTGTGACTCCCCATTTCTGAATTTCTGCTCTTCCACTCTAGGTCAGACATCTCACCCTCATCATCTCTTCCTTCCCTCTGTGGGAATGTTTCTTTTCTATTGGCTAAGTGAGGGCAGAGTGTCCCTCTTGAATCTGCTGATTTTCAAGTACCTTTAGTTTACAATAATCCTTCTGCCAAGTGGCATGTTTTCAAGTGGCATGTGCTGCCACCTTTCATTCATTTGCTAAATGCTTTCCTTGCAGAATGAGAAGTGGAGTCACTTTAGAAAAGCGCTGCAGGTATTTCTGATGGACTGTCTCCCTGGGTAACTGCTTGCCTAGTCAACTAACGAATTAACAAGCCTTTGAAATTGCTGCTCATTGATCCCAAAATGTTCTTTTAGAATCCAGGCGGCTTCCCTTCTTGTAGCTGTAGTGTTCAGAGTAGCCAGTGTTTCATTAAGGGAATTCTTAAATTAATTGTCACTGATGTCTTGATAGTGGGTTGATATATGCACATTTGCCCATGCGTGAAGTCATGCCGTTGTCCTGAATATTGCTAGGTGTATATTTTATTGATTGGTTTATAATCAGCCTTTTTGTGGTTTGTAATCAGCCCTTTTCTCTTCTGTGTGTATGACCAGAGGAGGACGTTGGGTGGGTGTCATGCTGCATTTACCACGGTTTTTAGAGGAACAGAACTTAGAGAATCAATCCATTAATCCGTTTATCCATCCATTGATCCATCCATCCAGTGTATCATCCGTCTATTTCATCTATCATCATCCGTTTGTCAATAATCTGTCTATAATCTATTTGTGTGTCCTTTTATCTGTCTGTCTATCATCCATCCATCCATCCATCCATCCATCCATCCATCCATCCATCTTATTAGTGGCTTTATATCTCTTGTCCAGCTAGTCTAACAATGGCCGTTTTCTAATGGAAGGTCCAAGAATCCAATAGCTTTCTGTCTGTAAAGCTTGATGTTTCTGATGGTTTTCAGTATATATTGGTATCCTGAAGAAGCGGGCTCTCATGCTGGGTTTGGAATAGTGAGGCAAAGGCCGACTGGCAAAGAGCAGGAATTCTTCTTCCATGTCTGTTATATATGCTGCCACCGGAAGGCATGGCCAAAATTTAAGGTAGATTTTCCCACTTCAAAGGATCCAGTTTTAGGATGAGTCTCCCCACTTCAAGTGATTCAAACAAGAAAAATCCATCACAGGTGTACCCAGCTGCTTAGGGTTCACTTAATTCCAGATGTAGTCATGTACGCAAACAAGAGTAGCCATTGCAGTGGCTCTTACACTCTCCACCTTGTTCCCCTAAGACAAGGTCTCATTCGGAGTCAGCATGACGATCCTCCTTTATCTGCCCCTTCCACAGCACTGGAGTTAGAAGCTGGTGTGCCCCCATACTCAGCTTTCTAGATTGGTTTTGGGGATTTCAATGTAGGTCCTCATATTTGTACAGCAATTGACCCATCTCCCTATCCTCCTGTTCTTGGTTCTCTTGCTTATATGGGGCAGTTTTACCATTTCTCAAGATAGTCAGTGAAAACGTAAGCAATTATTTTACTGGACATTCAGTAATCAGTCAATAAATATTTATAGATACAGTGAACAAACAGTTGCCTGTTTTATTCAAGATTTGCAATCAAGAGACTATAGTCATAAATTTTATGACTATAAATTTTCTTTAGAGAGAGTGCGGGTAATATCTCGTGTCTGAAAGCTTAAGGCTTTTAAATTATGAAAAACTTCTTAAAAAGATGTCAGTCCCTTCTCAAGTGGTTACATAGACACAGATTCTCTTGCCCCCACCCTCCAGAGTAGAGATTTTCAGTATTAATTAGAGCAACCGTGATTGTACTGCTGTTTCTAAGACCTTATCAGGGCTTTGGGAAGTTAATGTCCTGGCAGGGGTCCGTTTACTCTTTGTAGCTAGCTATTCTTCAGAGTCATGAAAATGCCTTGATTAATATGTTACGGGGAAATAAAATAGTTTGAAAAAATTATAATCTCATAAATATTAATTCATATTTGTATGGAATTGGACATAATTTTCTGTATACTTCTGAGCACATCTTCAGTGCGAAAGGAGGACTGGTCTTGTATGAAATCAAATGTGTGAGGCAAATTCTTATTTGTCTATTAAATATAGGATCTCTTGGAGCCCACAGCTCACTGTGTAGTTGGGAATGACCTTGAGCTTCTGGTCCTCCTGTCTTTCCCTCCCAAGTACTAGGATTATAGGCATGCACTATCACTCCCAGTTTTATATGGTACTGAGAAAGGAACCCAGGTCCTCATGCATGGTGGGCAAATGCTCTGCCAGCTGAGCTACACCCATAACCTGATATTGTGCTGAATAGGTCTGGATGTTTTAGCTACTTGGTTTTGTGTATTTAGAAAGAAAATTTTAATGACTGATTATTTTTTGGCTTATTCTAAAGCAGTTTGGTTACTGGAGCCAGCTGTCCAGTTTTGTGCTTTTTCCTCTTTCAGGGGATTATGGTACCACGAACACAGGCTGTCCTCTCTGATTCTGATCCAGGCCATACACATTCAAGTACAGCCCTCCAGTCTGAGTGTCCCTTTGCTGTCTTTTCTTTATTCCCTCACTGCTCCCGTCAGTTCCAAGTCTCTGGAGCTGTAGTGGATGTGGCTGTCCTCACATCTGTTGTCCCAGTACTAGGATGGCAGGGAGAGGAGGAGCTCTAGAGCTTGCTGGTCAACCAGCATTGCTGAATAAGCAAATTCCGGGCCATTGAGAAACTGTGTCTCACAAACAAGGAGAGCAACTGGGCAAGATACCAGAGATTTACCTTTGGCTTCTACACACTTGTACACCCACCCACACCCACAGACAGGAATAGAAACGACTTGTCTGTGGCATCATTAGGGGTTCAGGAGACTTGACCACTGTGTCTGTCTCCATCCCCTTATTCTAACCTTATTTAGGCTATGACCTTAGATCCTCATGTGACCACCACTTCCCTTTCCTTTTCTTTTCTGCAGAAAGATGTAGCAGTTAAGCCTCAGGAACGAGGGGAGAAACGGCAGACTCCTCTGACCAAGAAGAAACGAGAAGCTCTTACCAATGGTTTGTCTTTTCACTCCAAGAAGAGCCGGCTCAGCCACTCGCACCACTACAGCTCAGATCGAGAAAATGACCGCAACCTCTGCCAGCACCTTGGGAAGAGAAAGAAGTTGCCAAAGGGACTCAGACAGGTGAGCAAGCCTGGTTCATTCTTAACCAGGGCCTTGTCTTCCATCCTGTGCCTCTGTAGTTCTCAATGGGTGGCAGTTTTCTTAATACGATGATGTAGTAATTGTTTTTGGAAAGTTGTATGCATGATTCTAAAGAAGAGGGTCACACTCTAGGTGTGTCCTCCACATTTGACAAACATTCCACTGTTTTCAGTCTTTCATTTCACTGTTTGCTGCACATCAGAGCTCTCTGTGGTGCTGGTGGTATAGAGATCTGGCTATATGCTGGACATGGCCTGGCTTCTGTGGAGAGCTTCATGGTGAGGACAGATGGTTTGGAGAAATTGGTCTTAGCCAGTATAAATCACAGGGTTCCGATGTGCTAAAAATGGTGGTCTGTGTGTGAGCAGGGCCTGATAGAAAGTTCATACTGTGACATTTGAGAGGGCAGTGGCGTTGAAGTGTGGCCATCTGTGTGCTACCATTGTTCTCCACAACCCTGAGACTCAGGATGGTCTCTGTCATCGTTTGGACAGAAGTTTTGTTATGGCCATGGTCTCTGGCCTGGTAATAATTAGTTGGCAATGATCCACCAACAGATACAACAGTTTGCGTTTGGGGGGGGCCTTTCTGCTTGTGGAAATCCCTACGTGAGGTGGATTGATCCTGAGAAGCAAAGTCGTCCAGACTAGTTTTTCCTCACGCCATTGTGTCCCTGCTTGTAGAGTTACCTGCATCCTGTGTGGGTTTGGTTTGGTTTCAGAGAGGCTATCGGGTGAGATTGACTGTCGCGCGCGTGTGTGTGTGTGTGTGTGTGTGTGTGTGTGTGTGTGTGTGTGTGATGGGTGTGAGACGCGGGGGAGAGGGTCTGTAAGAGGTGATGTCGCTCTGGAATTTGTGTTTCTAACTGATACGAAAATACAATCACCAGTGGAGAGAGGCTGCAGTATTGACACCTTCGACTCAGAGCCCCTTGCCTTTCTAACATGATGCAGGACTGACCTTATCAGGCAAGAGACCACTTTACTTCCATGTGGAGGCCAAGTGTTATGTCTTCTTCACTGACCTGACCTCACTTTTCTTTCCTCGGTCTTAAAGTACTTCTTGTGATTTAGCCGCAACCAGGGTTTTCATGGTTCATTTCTGAAAAATATTAATCATCATTACAGAAGACTTGTGCACATGTGTCTGTATTTTGACTAACTTTTGGTGTTGATGGTCAAATGCTACTTTTGGTACTATTGTTATTTGAAGTCCAAGCTTTCATTGTTTTACGTTTGAAGAGTACTTTTTTTTCTCCAAATAATAAAGATTTCTGCCTTTCACCTATAATTTCAAAGACAGCGTATCTTCCTATGTCCTTTCTTCATGCATGAATGCACTAGTTTGTCAATAATTTTATTTAAGAGAAAGTAGAGTTGACAGCTGAGGTGAGAGCATGATACTTGTCACTGGTAATTAATCTCTGCTGCCACCCTACTGAAAAATGAATTTCCTGAATTTGGTTTCTTAAGTTATTCTTTCTGAGCCACATGATTATTTTAATCACCAATAATGTGATCAAATAGAGTGCCATAGAGATCTGTGAAGGAAGACCGTAGTGGGCGGAGAGAACGCAACTTGTTTTAAGTTTGAGTAATGGCATTATGTAGACATTTAAATGAGAGGAGAAACATTTGTAGGGTAAGGTTTCCTGTCTTATGTGAAAACGGACTGGTAAAAGGTGAGACACAGTATGTTTAGAATTCTAGGAGTAGATAGAGGTGATTGAGATGGGTCAACAGGAAAGGGTCTTGCTACCAACCCCAGTGACCCACGTTTAATCCTTGGAACTCACGTGGTAGAAGGAAAAGAACCAACTCCAGCAAGTACATATACCACAGGCGCACACACACATGCAGTAAAATTAAAACACCTTAGAACAATAGATAGAATTGCTTTTGTGTTGTGCTAGGCCAATACATATCACAGCCCCCCCCCCTTTTTTGTCCTTTGCCTCCTTGCCTGTAGAGTAACTGAATCTGATGAATCTGACGATCTGTGCTTGAAGGGGGTCTTCAGAGTGAACCTTGAGGAGAGTTTTTAAATTAATGGATTGTCCTTGAGTGCCTCTGGCTGAGGGAGTTACAGTCTGAAGACTTACAGATGACGTTGGGCATGAGAAGAGAGGGCCTGGTCTTCCTCCTTGACATGCGGAGAGTGAGTTAAGTTTGCATTCTATTAGGGTGGCACTTCCTGCGCAGACAACTTAATACATGGCTTTCCTGTAATTATGGAAGACATTACTCTTTAGTAGAGAGGAAATAATAGGATTTTTTTTTCCCTGAGAGTCTGTTGAAGGCAACTAATCTTTTCACTCTGAGAGTGCAATTATATACTTTTAAGAGAGAAGGGAAAAAAAAGGTGTAGTTCTAAAACCAAATTGCTTTTCCTTCCCTTGTCTGATTATAAAACCACGGCTCCTGTGATATGTTTCCATTCTGTCTAAAGAAAGTGTTTTAATTGGCACTTAGCTTATTTGCTGGATTATGTTTTTATGGATAAATACATACTGTCTTAGAAGAGAGCTGATCAGTAGCTGCCTTGCCAAATGGTTGCAGGTTTGAACAACACTGTCCCTAGTTCTCAAAAGAGCAGAAAAATGGATTCGAGCAAAGGAGCAAATTGCTGTGATGCAAAATAGTGAATGTCTCTGTGACCTGGTGTTTTCAAAACTTTCTCCCCAGGAAAGACATCTACCCTCATCCTCCAACGTCAAATTCCACCAAATTTGAAGTATTCTCTTAGTATAGCTGATGGTTTCTCCATGGCCATGTAGATGGAGTTTCTTTAGTTGGCCTTGGCCAACCTGTATGCAACAGTACCTCCACAAAACTCGTGACCACTTGTAAATTGACAGAATTGCATACACAAATGACTGAAGTGTCAGATGAGGTCCCAGTGATCTTCCCTACTCCTTCCCTTTTTGAGGGAATGTCAGTAGTCAACAAGTCCCATTACGGTGGACAAACAGGTATAGCCAATATGATGGAGATGTTGGCTGTTTGGCTTGTAGGATAGTCCATTACAGTGCTTACCTCAGGGGATGTTTCTCCTGTGTAGAGCTGTGGAGTACTTACGGTGTGTGCAGTCATTGGAAGCGTTGTCTTTGACTGGTGATGACAGAGGGGATGGAACTTAGTTCTGCTTTGATATGGGGGCATATGGAGAGGAAACAGTACCTCTCCATAGGACCTTTCTTCTTTAATTGGGACATTATATCACACTGTAACTATCGAGCAATACAAAGCTATGTGTTTCATAACCCTCTAGCCAAAGCATGGCTTCTTATTTTGGGAAAATTTAACCCTTCCCTGAGCAATATGGAAACTTTGAATTTCTTTCTTATATATGTCTTAACTTCTAGACCATAGGAATTTCTGCTTTCAAAATTTAGTACTTCATAGTTTAAAGCACAGAGAAGACAAAAGGGTTTGAAAAATAATGTCGCCATGATGAGAGTTGGGAGGACTCTGAGTTAGCTTCAATTGGAGTTCTAAATCTCTGTTTAAACAATTACCTTGTCCTATCTAATATGAACTGCACCAGGAGGAAATAGTCTAAAGCAAGCGAGAGGCCCTCATTTGGTTATGTGAACGTATGTGTGCATGAATGTGTGTGCGCGCCTGCGTGCAAACATGATGCATATGTATATGCACAGATATGTGAACGTAAGTGTATGTGGAAGCGAGAGGACAGCCTCAGGAGACACTGTCCTCTTTCTTTTTTGAGACAAGATATCTCTGGCCAAGAACTTGCTAATTCAGCCAAACTGGCTGTAATAGGGGTAATGAAAGTTGTTGTCAAGGAAATTGTGGTTCTTGGCGTGAACAAAAATTGAATGATGAGGAACGACAGCAAAGATTAAGGGATGGATAAAGGAAAAGTAGCAGATTTATCTTTTATGATGGGAGAAGCCTAAGGTCAAAAGTCTGTTAAATAAACATAAGATGCTTTGAGTAGTTTACAAAGCCCCTGAGTCTCTGTTTTTAGTAGTGCCATGCCTAGATACCCATCCCCATGCCTTTTGACATTTCTCACAGAAGCATCGTCTGGGAACAAGAAGTTGCTGTCTCAGGGAGTCTGCCCCAGTTTGCTCCACATCCCCACGTTCCTGGGTTCTCTGATTTATCTGTCTCCTTTCAGAGTTTATCACACACTGGGTAGGGGCAGTAACCTCTAGCTGCTTCTTGCTCTGATGAGGGGTGTGGAATCTATTCGGTGTGTTTTTAAGAGAGAGGTGACTTTTATGAAGCAGTTTCCTGTGGCGAGGTAGGGTACTGTGACAGAAGTCTTCCAGGCCGCGCATCTGGAGCTCCATCTGTAGGCCCTTCTGTAGAAGAGAGGGGCAGAAGGGGTAAAGGAGAGAGCTAGAGGCCACTTCAGCATAGCCAGAATCTGCCTTCCTTTCTCAGGAAAGTTCCGTGTAGTAGCAACCAGTCCACGGCTGGTCCTGAGAGTGATGAACCCGGGATCTGTTTTTCAGCACTTTGATGGCTCTGGAAGTTTATACAGTCAATGTGAGGTCTCACCCAGATGGTTTCTAGTGAGGAAGAGAAGAAATTTAACCGTCATTTGAAAATAGTAGTAGACCCGTGTCTCTTAAGTGCAGATCGATACTGCCGTGTTTGGATTGAGGCAAGTTCATGATATTTTGTGTCTGGGAATCATTTAATGAAAGATGGTTGTCAGAATAGCATTTCATATGGAATTAAGTCTAATATCTAGGGAGTGTGATCCTTTAAACTGTTAAACTCACAATACATTTAGTTATGCTTTCTGATGGTTATTTAAAACACAGGTAGCCAACATTAATCACTTTTATATTTTTTATTGTCAAGGTCACTTGAGAATCTGGTCCAGAGGAGCAAATTGGGCTTGAGAGGAAACCCTGACTATTAGCAGTTACCCCGTCTATGTGAGGAAAGTCAAAGGCCTCATTTGACCATGGTGTGGCTTGTAGTCATGGAGGGAAATTTCCT